ATAAAAAATTTGTGACTATATATTTTTTATAGTTTTTTAATTACTATAATAATAACTTATGAGGAACTTTGTATTAAATTTTCAAGTATTTTAATAAGGCCAAAAAAATTTTATCGTCACTTCAAAAGAAAATTTTCAGAAAAATTTTAAATTTCAGTTTGTCTATAAATATCTCRAAAAWRTCAAAATATTTTGAAAATTAAATCGTGTAAAGRAAATGCCAATCTAAATACCTGGTAAAATTTTCAAGTATCTACGACTTATACTTTTTGAATAATCACAAATACTTAAAATCATTTCAGAATAAATCGCTATCGTTAGGTATACGCTATTTCGTAAAAATTTAAAATTCAAACGCACCTAAAATTTTACCTATAATGATACTTCGAGTTTTCATTATAGCTACTTGAAAGAAAACTTATGGAAAACTTAGTGTTGTATTTTTAATCCTTCGTTATAAACACAACAATTTTATGATTTTTCAACTTTAAAATTACTTGCAAATTTTCGTGTTTTCGACAGATTTCGTAAAAAWTTGAACTATAAATGCTTATAAAAAAATTGTGACTTACGATTTTTAATTTTTGTTAGCTACAAACAACTCATAAGGAACCTTGTATTAAATTTTCAAGTTATATTGGTCGTCTAAATTTTTTTTACCGACACTTCAAAAAAAAAAATTCTCATAAAAATTGAAAATTTCAGTGGTCTATAAATATCTCAAAAAAAGTCAAAGCATTTTGAAAATTAAACTATTTATAGATAACACTAACATAAACATTTGATGAAAATTTCAAGTATTTACAGTGATTAGTTTTTGAATTACAACCATATAAAAAAATCGATTTGGTCGAAAACTGGTTTTGCTATTTTTTTTTTGTTTTTCTCGATTTTTTTGAAAACTGTTGGAAAATGTTAACTTTTGACCTTTATAATGCACTAAGGATATTCACTTTTACATCGAAACCATCCCCAAAGTTTGAAATTGAATCATTATTTCAACTAGTTATGCTGCACACAGACACACAAAACAAAAAAACACACATCATTGTAAAATCAATACATTCATCACTTCGTCCAGAATCTAAAATATAATAAGCATTTGTTACATTTTAATAAGCCTTAAGGATTTCTACTTTATTTTGAATTATTTACTTATATTTTCATTATAAAGTAACATTTTGTAATAGAATTATTTCATGTTAAAAAATGTATATCATTTTCAATTTTAATAATACTAAGGTTTGGTAATTTAATACAGGGTAAGGTTAGTCAGCTTAAGTCTTTCTCTTAAAAAATATGAATATCTAAAAAATACATTTGCATCCAGTTTTTTTTTATTTATAGAAATTTAAAGTTGAAAAGTTGATAATATTTGATATTCAAACAAAGTATAGCGATTCTAGTTTTTTTGAAGTAATTCAAAAATTAATATACGTAAGGAATTTAAACTTTTCGTATAACATGTAATATTATTTACTATCTATACACAATTCAATTTTAAGCTTTAGTACGAGGAACCTATTCATATAATTATGTGGTATATCATGCGTCTGTAGTATCTATATACAGGGTGATTCATTTAACGTAAGACACTTATTATTTCAAAAAGTTCTATCTTTTATCTTCTTTTATATATACATACCTACAGTGAAAACTCTCTATAACGAATCTGAAGGGACCATKTGATTTCTTTCGTTATTGAGAGTKTTCGTAATGGAGAGTAATTAATGGGTTTTAAATCAAACCAACCATTTTAATAAGTTAACTTAATGTTATTTACGTAATATAGAGTTTTTCGTTGTAACAAGTTTCGTTATAATAAAGAGTTTGCACTGTATATATATTTTGATATTTAATGATAGCAACAAATAATTTATATTTCTAAAATGATCATATCTTTTGTTACATAATAAACATAGATCAACTTTGGATTTTTTTAGTAGTAACACCTATATTTAGTATCAACAAATTATTATAAAACTATTTTTCTTTAAAGATTTTCTGTGTTTGAATGTTTAATTCAATTTAATAGATTTTGAGATATAGCCAATTYAAAAAACGATATATAAGAAGTTTTTTGTGTTTGTTTACACTTGTTGTTATTAATTTTTGGTTAATCATACAAATCAATAATTGGCTTATAAACACTTATTAGTTATTACATTACAGTGTAACACATAGATATTAGATGATATGAATACCAGCACCCGGTTGAGAAAAACGGTTTTTCTGGCGCTTGGTTTTGGTTATGAATTCCAACTTCATGGTTACGAATGGTTACTAATCGGTTACTAAAGCCTAGATTAGGTTTGAACTTTCTAAGTAGATTATTTYGATGTAGCGGATGCTTGGCGTAACGTTACACCAGCACCCGGTTGAGAAAAACGGGTTTTCTGGTGCTTGGTTTAGGTTACGAATTCAAACTTTGTGGTTACGAATGGTTACTAATCGGTTACTAAATCATGGAACCAATTTAAAATAAAAAAGCTTAGGTTGTGGTGCTGGTGTTAACGTACCTGAGATGTCTCATTAATTAATAAGCTGGTCTATCTCGTGGGTAATTGATATAATATTGATGTATATTCCAGGTAATTCGATTGTCTTACATCCAGATGTTATATATGAGATTGCTACATATTACTACATACTACACATATATTCTAAACTAATCAAATTCAATAGTGATTCGCAATAAATTTCTAGAAGTGTTGAACAATATTTTTGATATAGGTACTGCTACATATAAACAAAAACATTTCCAACCAATTAAAAATTTWAAATTATTAAATAATTAAAAATTAGTTTTATTCCTATTGAAGTATAAATAATTGTGTAGTATGTAGTAATAAACAAACTGCAGAATACGATTATATTGGCAAAAAAAAAAAAAACAACAACAACAACAACAACAATAATTTAAATCAGTTGAATTTAAATAGTTCAGAGATAAAATAACATTTTAATGATACAAAGTATTGCTGGGATTTATTGTCTTCGGTCTAATTAAACGAGGGTGCTTTTTTTAAACGTTCTAAAATCGAAATAACGTAAATATGCATTTTAAACACCGTTCTTAATTTTCATAGCTGTTTTCACCGCGTAGGTAATATATATTTATACATAAATCTATTTTATTAGTCGACTTTCTTTTTCTTTGTTAAGTGATTCTAACGTATTAATTGGAATTCGAAACGCCTATAGACTGTAACTATTTATAGCTTCAGATATATCTGGTTAAGATTGGCAATGATGAACAACATTTCTTTATTTTATGTTCCCCATTTGGTAGAMGTTATATCTGGAAAATAGGTTGGCTTATTTATTAGTTGTCTTCTTCCAATACATTTATTTGTAAAACGTTTTAATCTTTGTATATCCTATCTACATGGGAATAATTAGCTGGCGCTCAAGCTTGCATTTAATACGTGACTTGTAACTCGCCTTTGGTCACCTATAAAAATAAATAAAATAATTGTTGTTAATTTTTAATTTTAATTTTTTTTTTTTTTTTGTAGGTTGATATTTTACATCTATTCAGTTTTCATTAACAAAAACTAGAAAACAACGAAATTTCAAAAAATTATAAATTAGGTACCACCTATACTCAATATCGATATCTCCATAGCCATTGGCCAAGTTTAAAAACTAACTTATAGTAAATATTTGTGTGAAATTTGCAATCGAGAAATATATATGTATATATTGTATATAACTTATTTAAGGCTTTAGTTATGAAATTTTTTTTAGAGAAATGGAAGCCTAAACGCTGCAGGAATGATAACTTATCATTATATTATTATGACTACATACCAATAAAACTATTGTTTTGTTTACATCTCAATATGCATCTCTGCAAATATTAAGGCAATATTATTACTAGGTACCATGATTCATTTGGTTTTATTCTGTAATATTTTAAAATTAACAAATAAGGAACATTAGTGCACTTTATTTGAGAATTGCATTGTTTATTTGTAGTATTTCGGTGATTGTTCATTATTTGCGTCGATTTAGATCATAACTCACAAGTTACATATTTTAAAGTAACAAAAAAACTGCACTAGGATATTTTTATMATGCAAATATGCATATAATAATAAAGAACAGTCATTATTTTATTTTTATATTTTAAGAACAAGATGATTTTTCAAACGTAATACACACTTACATAATATAAATATCTTAGTAAATTGTTGCGTTTTTTCCATATCTATTTGTTATTCACATTATTTTATTTTTAAATTAGACAACAATAATTAACAATTTGAATACAACATATTATATCAGTATGAATTGTTTTACTATATCTGTATTAATTTTACTCTAGTGAGTAAATATTTTATAATGTTGTAATTATTTATTTATTTCAGTATCAACTTTAAACGTATTGATTTCATAAACATTAACTATTACTATCAGAACAAATGTAGTGAAAAATATAAAGTATAAATAAATAATAAATTTTGTCTTTAAATTTTATGGGTATTCCGTGGTTCACTTAAGTATTTTTCTATAATTCTGTAACGTTATTTATTGTTATATTTAACTATCAAAAATATTTTTACGACGATTTTTTATGTACCCATCTATCCCATGTTCATTTTACCATCACATATATATATATATATATTTGCATTTCCAACTTCTTAATATTAAGCGAATCTTATATGTATAATTATTAAGGCATGGTAATTTAACATATTTTTTGTTTGAAACGTAGTTACGTAGGTAGTTATAAATTATAATTTAAACAACAAGATGTTTAGTAACAATTTGTCATTAACAATTATCTAATAGCTGATACACATATATTTAGCTCATATATGTTATGTACTATGCATATATTTTAAATAATAAGTATTATACGTCTGTTATCTTGTAGTGTTTAAACTTGTTACAATTTTAGAAGAAAATTKTTTACAAACGTCTTGCTGATTTTGGATTAAAATCTGGATAAAAGCATTCAAACGTGTTTCACCAATAAAATATTATACTAAAACAATTGTACTCAACATCAAACGCATTTCACCAATAGAATGTTATACTAAAACAATTGTACTCAATAATTTGTTTCGCCACTAAAAACGTGTATACAAATAACTACTCTGTCAATAATATTTTGAATTTATAGGTACTTCAACTTATTCAAAATACTAAGACAAATTTAAATAGAATATTTAATATAATGTTCCAGTATTTCCCTATACATAACTGATAATAGCACTGTAGTTTAACATTGATTATAAGGACTTACACTATTATCAAGTAATACACGATTGAATAGGAGTTAAATAGTTCTGACGATGATATAGTAGTGAAAGTCCAAATCATTATTATACTAATTTAATTAAAACGATGATATTAATTTTAATAACGTTAAAAGAATAAACAAATATGGATGCCTTAGGATCAAGTACGGTGTATTTAGTGTGAAGTTTTTTTTTAAAGTCTTCAATTATCATAATAACAAAAAATATAATAATTTCACTTATAAAACAATTTTTCAGCTTAAAAAGGAAAACTATTTATTTTTTTTAATATAAAGAAATGGTCATTAACATAATTTCTTATGATTTAATAACAAAATCAGACGTGGGTGTTACAGGGTTAGGTTGAATGATTGAAGTTAAAATCGCATGGCATACTAATACTCAATTGTATAATGTGTTTAAGTTATTTAAGGTTTAAACTTCAAGTGCACGATTTAAACGTGGTTTTTAATTAAACAAACTTGAATAATTTCTACAGCAAAAAATAAATAGGTGCAACAGAAATCACTATAACGAGCATCGCTATTAGAACAAGATACTGCTTACAACAAGCAAAACGTTAGGTCCCGGCACGAGCCTATATGATTGTATGTTAAATATACATCTACGTATATAGTTATAACGAGTTATCGACTATAACGAGTAAAATAAAACTAACTTGTCTAACGACCTTGGGGTTACTACGAACAGGTTACATGTAACTGCAAGATAAGAGATTTTGGCTATTATTTAGGTCGATTAATCATTGACATAAATAATTATCTTTAGCTGTGTTGATATGAATTATTTATAATAATAAACATTATTCCAACAAATTTTGGTGTTTTCAAGTTAATAAAAATTACAAATAACGTAAATTATGTGAAACGTTCCCACCATGTCGCGTCGTCAGTTTACGTTGAACGAAAAAATCGGAATAATCGGGCGTTTAGAAAATGACGAAAAAAACGGCGTGATCACAAAAGAATTTGGCACCTCTTCGTCAACAATTTTAACCATATAGAAGAATCGGGATACGTTGAAAATGTTTTAAACCACGTTACTTCCAAAAACAGAATAACAGTTTTAGTGGCAGCCAACATGACCGGAACTGATAAAAGAAAACTTCTTATTATTGGAAATTCGAAAAGTCCTCGGTGTTTTAAAGCAGTTTCATCACTTCCAGTATTTTATTAAAATAACACCTAAGCTTGGATGACCTCAGCAATTTTAGAAAAAACTCTTAATTATTGGGATGATGAGTTACGCCGTAATGAGCTACCGGTTATAACGAAAAAAACTAGCTGGCTCTTGAAACTCGTTATAACCGATTTCTACTGTACACATATAGCAATAGAAGGCATTTTTAAAACGAATTCCAACGAACACGTCAAGGGCTCCTTGGTAGCAATAGTTTATACACGAAATGGTCAGATCCCCGTATAACCATATTTTGATCAAAAACCAACTATGCGACCCGTACAATATTTAAGGCCTCCAAAAGAGGAGCTAAACTTACGACCTGACCATGTATCAAGCAATTAGAGTTTTAAAACGATGGTTTTTACAACACGTCGTATGTCAAACATTGAATCGGGGGACATTTAGTGAAGTCTTCGCTGTGAAGACATCCATCAACATATAGCATAGGTRCTATTAGGAACCGGTGGCAGTATTRTGATGCACAATATTCCCACCAGTTCCTGGTTATTKCAACAGGAAAAAAAAGTATTGTTACTACTTACTATTAAATATATACCAACATGTCAACATATTATAAAATAATATTTCAATCATATTCATCCCATATTGATGAAAGGCTTAACTGTGAGAGAGAGGGTGGTTATATTTCAACGAAAAGGTAAACTTAAAATTTACCATACGCAGAGTAATTGCTTCTGTTTTATTATATTATTATTTATTAATAMTTGTTTTCCCTTATTGGCAATCATTTTGATTATTGTATTAAATTGTTGTACTAGCATGTTTTGTATTATTTACCGAATAAAATTTTCACAATGAATTGCAAAAATGTATATATTATTATGTAATACTAAGTTGAGATAAAATTAATTATGTTTTGTTTATATAAAATCTGTAAATAAAACTCGACAATAACATAAGCTAAAACGACTTTATACTAATATAATGGAAATCTGCAAGTACCTATTTAAGTTCATATGGTAATAAAAATGAACCAATGAAACAATGTAAGTTAGAATTACGTAAAGTATATTCTATTAACAAGCTGATTTAAAAACGTTTTTAATTTTATATCATGAACATTTTATAATTTTTTATCAGAATCAAATTATAAAATAATGATAAAAGTGATTTTAAAAATGTAAATACTCCAAGGTGTCGCATAGTACTAGAATATTTGTAATTTATATTATATTTTTATACTTTTATATAATTGAATAATACGTATTTAACTAACGTACTTTTGTATTAAAAATAAATTTTAATGGACATTTACTGTTCCAAAATGAAACAACATTTAAAATTCTTATTAATAATCACTAAAAACTGATAGTGGATAAATAATATTGCATGTTGGTATTTTTTGTTAATTTTGGAASTAGATATTTAACTTAAAGATTATTAATTAATCAGAAGCAAACAAAACTTTTTTGTTTATCCACTGTAAGAATAACACATATCGTTTCACAATGAGTTACCTATAATTAAATAAATATACAAAAGTAATTACTATCGAGTACTGACGAACTACGAACAAATGTGGGGAAATAAGTGATCAAGTTAGGAACACAAACATGGTTTTTAATAATTGGATATTTGTCTGTTTGAATGTGTGTTGGAGTTGAATATTAAATGTTAACATAAGTTTTAACCATTAAAATTCTAATTAATAATATTTAGAACATTATAATGATTTTTCTCTATTAATAGTATAGTGAACTGTACCCACAATAGTCTAGATAATATTTAATATGCATACAAAAGATAATTTAAGTTTAAATAAGATTATAACTGTCTCGTTACACGCTAGTTACGGGTTTAACAGTTAAAAAACAGTGTTTTTTGGTGAACATTTTTCCACGCATCCAAAGTCTCATCAGTTTTTATTGCAACTTGTAATACATATTATATACATCATACATATAYACTATAGGGATTAGTTTATTTTCAATTAACTCAGTTGTTTTAAAGTGAAACAGCATAAAAAAWTCAGAACGGG